AGGCTTTCTGTTCCCGTAAAGATTTACAGCCTCGGAAACCTTGTACAGGGTCACTATGAGTCAGAATTGACTCCACGGCACATAACAACAACAATTGTGATATTGCATGATAATGCATGTCCCACACTGTTGACACTCAGTAAAATCTTCCTTTTCAGGTGTTACAGCATCCTCCCCATAGTCCTGATCTTGCTCTGTCAGACTTTCACCTGTTTGTCCTCTAAAGGCAACCCATGGAGGACTAAGATTCACTCTGATGAAGAAGTGAAGACAGCAGTGCATTTGTGGCTCTCAGCTCAGCCCAAAACATTTTTAAATAGGGAATTGAAAGCTTTTTTGACAGGTGCATTGAAAAGCTAGACAAATTATGTTGAAAAAATGATGTATTTGTCTTTTCTAAAGGTTGATTTAAGTAAATTATACAGCCAGAGTGCAGGTAATTTTTGACTCAACCTTGTATTTCAGGATTTTGAAATGCTCTTTTTGATGACGAATGTGATGACATTCTTCTTTAATTTGTTGTTCCTGGCATAGTAAACCACAGGATTGTCTGATACAAAATAGCCAATACCAGCCCAATGCCTAGAATATTGATCTTTATACATTACATTTAATTTTTGGCCACTTTTAATTTTTCTAGATTCATACTTTGTACATCTCACTTTCCGATTACTAATGGGTGTTTGCAGCTGTTTCTTCTCATTTTGAGTCATACTCCATCAACAAATGAGGGTCCTGAAAGCTTTTTTCCATTCATGTCATTATGGTCAATTCTACTTTGAGGAAGCAGTTCTTCCCTGGTCGTATTTTGAGTGCCTTCCAACCTGCCGGGCTCACCTTTGGCTCTTTGACAATGTTCAGCTGCTATTCATAAGGTTTTCATTGGCTAACCATTCAGGAGTGGTTCACTTCTCCTTCTTTCTAGTCTGTCTTAGTCAGGAAACTCCATTGAAACCTGTCCACTATGGAAATCCTGCTGGTATTTAAAATACCGGCAGCATAGCTTCCAGCAACACACAAGCCCCCAGAATATGACAAATTGACAGATGAGTGGCGACTGAAAGACAATGGGGACCTCAGAAAAGAGCTGAATTGTTGCCCCTCTGTTAATTGATATTCTGAAAGCATTGACCAAATCCTTTGTAGTTGGATCAAGCAGGAGTCACAGCTTCAGAAAACTTAGATGACTTGTTATAAGGCACTGGAGGCTGGCAGTAGGAATCAGTTGGCAGGGTGAGATTGCTGGCAGAACTGGAGCTAGGGAAATGACATAGCTGGAAGGCTGTCCCCCAATTTGGAAGTGGCATCAAGATTATTAGATAGTAAATTCCTACTCATCAACTTGAATGTACAAAGACAAGGTTCTGCACCCTTGTAAATAAAGGTCAGGGAAGAAGCAGGTAGAGGATTAGGGCTCTCAGATTTCAGTTTCACTGGGGCACGAAAATGCTCATCAAGAAACCCAGTCAGAAGTCCAATGGACTTTATTGGACTTACAGCAGCAAGATTAATTCCAGACCATTTCTGTGAGTGGAAAGCTCCTAAAGAACTCCTTGTCTCAGGAGTTAGGACCTGTTCAGGAACTGGATAGGAAAGAATGTGCAAGAAAAGGGTCTTAGCACTTCCCCCTGAAAAGACCTGGAGAAATCAAGGGATGTCTGGGAGAACCAACAGTCAAGAGAAAACCCACACTGGGATTGAAGATCTCAGGGCAGCAGAGGAGAGTCCTATGTGAGTCCAGCAAAAAAGTACCAGCTGGAGAAAGGGTACAGTGGATGAGATTTTGCATTTGGTTGCATGGAAGTCAGAGCAGCTGTGCTGAAGAGGCCAAGGCAGGTATGTAGAGGAGGATAACAGATATGAAGAATGAATGGAGAAGAAGCAGGGTCCATGCATGCTAAGTAAGACACATAGGGTCACCATGAGTGGGAATCAGCTCAATCACTAGGCACTGTGGTTATTTAAATGTAAGTTAATCAAAATCAGTAAAATTCAACTCAATTACTCAGTTGCACTGGCATATTCAATGGCTCAGTAGTCACAGACACAGAACATCTTAATTATCGTAGGAAGTTCCATTGGATGGTGTTGGTCTATTTGCTTCATTTCATTCCTTAGGTTAGACATGCCTTTGGGTCCTAATATGTTCTGCAACAGAAGAGTGAGCCTTGACGCATCAGTTGCTATTATTCAAAAAAGCTGGAGCAATGAGGGTAAATGAGTGTTTACTCTTTGATTCCTTTCTCCTCTCTGGACTGTCCTCAAGCTGGAAAGGGTGAAAAAGGAAGTCCAAGCCTCTGATCACAGAGAGCTTCCAGAGTCAAATCCCATCCAACTTCCTCCCCATGGGGAAGTTGCTAACAAGCAGTGAGGACTGGCAACTCCCTGAGTGGGCAGCAATTCAACAAGGAGGGTCGCTCTGAGTCGGAATCAACTCGACAGCACTTAACAACACCAAGCCAAGGGGAATGAGGTCAGTCTAGAGATAGCAGGATTTGACTTGTGTGGACAGCAGAGAACAATTAGAAGCCTTCCCTCTGGAGTAAGGGTCTACCTTTTTGGGCAGACCACTTCTGCTGAGGAGGAGAAGCTTGCAGTCCTTTCTGTAACTCTCCCCTGTCATGTCCTTTGCTAGGACATCATCAATAGCAGGTTCAAGATCATCATTCCTTCTGGTATTGAAACCTCTAGTGGGCAGAAGAGTAGCTGTGACTGACGTTGCTTCTCGAACTAGGCTCCTGCTGCCCTCACCATCCATCCCATTCATGGTAGTACTAAATGTACTGAAACATTGGGACCATCCTGGGCCATCCCACTGGCCATAAAGGATTTGCTATGTGGCTCCTTTTTCTCTTGTCACTCTCATACTGGGTAAAGTTCAATTTGACTTTAATTGGTACTGTGTTTAATCTAGGGGTCCGTTTTAAGAGAAATAATACCTGTACAATATCAAGTCTTTCAATTCATGAACATGATGTATCATACATAGGAGGCAGTTTAAGATTTAGACCATCACAACTAGTTACTTGCTAGGATCGAGGTTATTCCTGGAGTTTCAGGATTTTAGGGACAGTGTCCTTCAGGATGATCCCCTGGAGGTGCCAGTTTTATTACCTCTGAGGGTAGGTTTGCCAAATACATCTCGTGTGCGCATGCGCCATGATTCAGAAAGCCCCACTGCAGGGCTCTGCAGACTTCATCAGACATCAGAAACACATCTGAGTCAACTGTGGAATGACTCAAGGCTTTGAAATATTTAAACCATATGTCTCATGAAATTAGATGAAAATGGTGCCAGCTTTCCTACTGAGAGGCTGTCATCTGAGACTGAAGCTCAGTTTAGCAATGATCCTGTTTTCCCAGCTCATTTGGTCATTCGGCTGTGAGTGGTGAACTGTCAGTTCTCTTGGGCCAAGTGGACAAAGATACAAGAACCATGCGGAAGACTACCATGGTAGTTCAGTGGTCCTCTCTGGTGGTGGTGGTGGTGGTGGTGTACCATGGAGTTGGTTCCAACTCATAGCCAACCCTGCATAGGGTTTCCGAGGCGGTAAATCTTTATGGGAGCAGAAAGCCTCATCTTTCTCCCGGGCAATAGCTGGTAGTTTCGAACTGCTGACCTTGAGGTTAGCAGCCCTACTCGTAACCACTGCGCTACCAGAACTCTTTCAATCACAACTTCAATCTAATGTCCTTGCCAGAGGCCTACCTTAGGTTTGAAAGCAATTAGTTTCAGGATCATCTCCACAGTGACGAGGCCAGGGAAGAGCATGTGAGCCTCACTTCCCTCATCCATAAAATGAATGTGTCTAGGATTATAAGCAATGATGTATATATCTAGCACATGACAGGTTATCAAGAAATTTTAATTGAATATTAATTCAAAGAAGGAGATGTATATGCTTGTCAATTAACCTAGATTCGACAGCCAAGAAGCAACTGCTCTCTCCCGCCAGCAACTAATACTGGGACAGGTAAAGTATTGAATAAAAATAGAAAGTCGGACTAGTAATTCTTCTTTAAAAACCTTCTGTTCATCTGGAAAACTAATCAAAGAGGGAAACAGAAGGTTCTAGACTATGAAGAGATTTTTTTCTCAAGTCTATAATTGCACAATTTCCCTAGAACCAACCCTTTCCTTCTTATCATTTCTCAAAAGTGTTTCAGTAGCCAGGTGAAACTACATGCTGTTAAACCATCCTTAAGAAGTGGATTTCCATGTTGTGAATTCCAGGCCACTGGATGCCAGTGATCCTGACCTGTCCTGATCCTGATCCATACGAAGTCTATGCATACAAGGTACAGATCAACCCAGTCTGCTGCTCCATTATCCAGGACTATGGATGTGGGGCTGGTTAGAAAGGGCATGATAATCCAAACTGACAGGTAATCCAACCTTCCCTACACTGATTTATTGAACCAATGGTTCTAATCTTCTTTCCAAACATTTTATTTTTATTTTCTAGTAGCCTCTTACAAGGAACAAAGCATAGAAATTTGCAAGTAACCAATTTTCCTGAACTGGCTTGTTAGTACAGGGAGCAATGATGCAGCCTCTAAATACAGAATACACTGAAACAGAGCAACTTTAGCCCCTGCTGAATTTTTTACATGAGATTGGTCTGTGTGACCGATGAGACAAGGAAGGGTACCATAGAGGCCTGAGGGAGTTTGTGGGGCTAGGCCTGAAGAGGTTTGGTTTGCCAGTCTGTGGGCGTAGTTTCTTCTGGCGTATGTACTGGAGGATGGGCCAGAGATAGCAAGGGAAGTGGGAGAAGAAGGACCACCATCTGCCTCTCTTAGAAGGAAAGGCTCAGCTCAGGGAGGAGTTGAGAGTCTATTTGATGGATTTGCCCTGGTTGAACAACTTTTGGTAGGATAAAGTCCTTTCCCTGATTACTTCTGTCCCTCACTCTTATTCCTTCCATACTTTGACTCTTGTCTCCCCTTCTTCTCCATCCTCTAACACCTTCAAAATAATGCCCTTTCCAGAGGCCTACCTTGGGTTTGAAGGCAATTAGCTTCAGGATCATCTCCACAGTGAAGAGGCCAGTGAAGAGCATGTTGAGGATGTTCATGGCGATTTTGAAGAGGCAGCTCTGACCGTAGTGCTGAGAGGTAAGGTAGATCCCCAAGAAGTAGAGAAGAGAGAGACCATAAAAGTGAGTGAGGCAGGGATATCCCAACTCTTCTCCACCCTCCACCTTCTGTCCAGCCTTCTTGGAGGCCCTCATCTCAAAAAGAGATTTTCCTTCAAACAAACCCCTGGCAGGGCCTCCACCTCTCATGGGCTGTCAGGCAGACTCAGGTTCATACAAGTTCTCTTCTGCCATCTCTGAAAATGAAAGTGGGCAGAGTTCTGTGTTCCTTCTTTGATTGACTGGGACAACTTTATGGAAAGTCCTGGAACTCTTTCAAGAGAGCTCTAGCACAAGTTGGCCCCCTGAAGACAGGTGGACATTGAATCAATTTCCACACCCCCTGGTTTACTGACAATAATGCAATCGTCAAGCTCACCCTCTCTGTTTTCCATTCCTTTCCTTTCTCTGTTTTATCAACCCAGGGTCCTATAGATTCTTTAAAAGGTCCCAGAGAGGAGCTCATCCTTGAGAAGGGACACTTGTCTTTCTCCTTCTGCTCTTTCTGCCTCCCTTGCTGCCAGGGAGAAGACAAACCAGAGATGATCATGCAGCCTTTTTTTTTTTTTTTTAAACACTTCATATCCTCCCATAGCATTCTCCCCATAGAAGCATCTTTGGACCAGGGCTCTCCCTTGGACTGACCTGCATGGCCAAGCAGATGGTGTTGAGCAGGATAAGGACGAACATCAGGTACTCAAAGTAGGTGGAGTTCACCACGTACCACACTTTGTATTGGTGTTGGTTCTTGGGGATGTATCTCCTCAGGGGACGGGCTTTAAGGGCGTATTCTACACACTGTCGCTGGAGGGAAGCAGTGGGAGGGTTGGGGTAGGGGATGGGGAGAGAGTAGGGTTAGTTACCTGGATGATGTTGAGAAGGATGGTAGAGAAAGGTGAGATGTAGATGAAACCACACACCCTGGGGATAATGGTCTCAGGAAATCAGAAAAATAGCCTAGCTCACTGACAGGTTTGAGATGTTATTTGGAAGAATATGTGCTTTTTAATCACTCCCTTAATCAAAGAAAGAGTCCCTTCTAGCCAAGTCTCTGTATCTAGATTGTTGACAAGGCTAATGCACTAGCATTGTTCTTAACACTGCACTTAGTCAGTATTTGATGAATACTTACTGATGGACAGATGGTTGGTTTTCTTATTGATTATACTCAATGCCACATACTCTTTGGGACACTTCTCTCGTCAATGTTTCTTTTCTGTTCTAAATAAATCCACAAGGAGAAAAGGAAAGCCCTTCTATTCTTTCTGCCTCCCCTCTTTTATAGGGGACAAGATCTTAGGCAAACTGGATTCTTGGGACTCCACTACAGATCCAGTCTATTTCTCTGTACCATATCAGGAACCCAAAAGTCACCTGGACTCTTCTCTCACTCTCAGCCTATGCATTCAATCTCTAAGTCTTACTGATTTTACCCCCCCTCACTCATTTCCATCTCTAATACTACTGACCAGGGTCAGTCACTCATCTTTCTTCTACACTATTGTGTGGCTCCTGTTTTTTTGTCTTACTTCCAATACAAAATCCACACAGGAGCTAGAATGGTGAGTCTACACTTAAGATAATGACATCAAAATCCAGGACGGGTCAAGCAGCTTAGATGGGATGAAGCTAAACTTTGTCAGTCTCTTTCCAATTAACAATTCTTAGTCACTCAAGACAAGGATATATATCCCCATGGAGTCTTCCCACTGGGACCCTAACTGGCCTCAATGATTATACCCTACATTGCACCCTAACAGCATCATTCTGCATGGATGAGTTCCTAGCTTTTTTTAATAAGAGGCTGGGATTTTATAGCTTACAGAAAGAACATTATCATATTGCCCTACTTAAATCTTGTTCCTGCCTCTACCTCATGCACAGCCCTGTGTATTTTACTTAAGAAGCCATTAAAGAGTGGTTTTCTTAAAGCTGATCTTCTCCCTCATCCCCAAAGCTCTTACTCTCCCTTGGTTCTAGTTTCTCTCTTCTTTATTTATTGTGCCAACACACCCTAACTTGCAAACTTCTACACAGGGCTTAAGATTCTCTTCACAAACTCTACCATAGAGTCTCCTTAAGCAGAGGCTTAACCAATGCTTGTTGGATGAATACACTTATTAAATATGTGATTTCTAGGGGTTTGCATTTCATTAGCATGGGGTACTCAAGAAGACAGAGAGCCCTTGGTTTTTTGAGGAGAGGAGAGATGATCTTAATATCTGCATTGATGTCTCCCCTGATGACAGTCTCTCATCTAGGTGGGCCTCAGTTTCCGACTGCTGTGATTATATCTGCATTGATGTCTCCCCTGATGACAGTCTCTCATCTAGGTGGGCCTCAGTTTCCGACTGCTGTGATTTCTTATGTGTGCCTTGCTTCCCTCCTCACCTCCTGCCCCTCTCCTGTCTAGGAAGCTACCTGGTTCTTGTCCAGCTCACAGTTCTTGTACTCCTGTTCCCCCTGCTCTTGGAAGGTGACGATGACGAAACCCACGAAGATGTTCATCATGAAGAAGGCAATGATGATGATGTAGATGATGAAGAAGATAGAGATCTCCACACGGTAGTTGTAGATGGGGCCCTTGTCTTCTGTATGGGAGTCGATGGAGCGATACAGCAGCCTGGAGGAGGACACAGAGGGAAGCAATGTCACCTCTGTGGAATGATAGGACCACCTCTTCTAAGGTCCTTGGGAGCAGGGGTGCTGGAGACGGCTCTACTCTTGGAGTCAGAAGTTCTGGGTTCAAGTCCCAGCTCTGCTACTGACTGGCTGTGTGACCTTGAAGTCAATCACTTAGCCTCTTTGAGTCTTAGATTCTTCAGATGGGAAATGGAGAAATAGTTCCTGACTTTCCTACCTTGCAGGATAAAAATGTATATGAAGTTTGGAAATGGTCAAGAATGATTTAAGTAGAAACAGAATCAATGGGAATCTAAATGTTGATAATTTTGAAACTGACTTAGCAGAGGTTAGAGTGCACATAAAAGAAATCTATCTGAGAGCAAATGTCAATTTAGATAAGGGGTTGGGAACATCTGGCCCGCAGACTATATGTTGTTGCTGTGCTATTGTTAAGTGCCGTCGAGTCAGTGCCGACTCATAGCGACCCTGTATAGGGTTTCTGAGGAGCAGCTGGTGAGCTTGAAATGCTGACCTTGCAGTCCAAACGGCTTTGCAGTCTGGCACATTAACCCACAACACCACACCAGGACTCCGCATACTATATAAGGCCTGCAAAATCATTTGGTCTGACCCTGCCAAGGCAACTGCAGTTCCAGCCATCACATTGTTATTGTTGTTGTTTTAGTGCTATCGAATCAGTATCGACTCACAGCGACCCCATATAGGGTTGCCGAGGAGTAGCTTGTGGGTTGCAGTCCAGTGCTGATCCTACAGCACCATACCAGGACTCATTGCATTGTTGTTGTTGTTGTTAAGTACTGTTGAGTTGTTCCGACCCACAGCGGTCTGGGAAGTGGCTGTTGAGCTTGAACCACCAACCTTATGGTTCAAACTGACTTTGCAGTCCAGCGCATTAACCCACAGCACCACACCAGAAGTCCAGTCATCGCATTAGTGGTGAGTAAATTAAATGTCTGACCAAAGATAGCAGGCTAATTTTTAAGTTGATAGCTTTGTATGGCCCACGAATGATGGTAAAAATTTTGGCAGAAAAAAAGTTCCTCATCCCTGATTTAGATAAAAAACAACAACCAACAAAAACTCCCGTGACCCAAGCTCACTCAGTTCATCAGCAGTTTGGTTTTACACTTAGGTAATTTACACATGTGTGTTATTCATTTAAGCCTTGGTGATGTGTCCATCAAGTGAATTATTTTTCTCACGAAGGGATTACTTCTTCCATTTCCTTTGTAAGTAACTCTCCTCAGTGCTTAAGTTATTGCTTTATGTGCCATCTACATCTCACCACATAATAACCATGCCTCTCATCTAAGATCTATGCAGTGCTGTTGACTTAGAAATGTTCATCTTTTTCTGAAAATTTAGATGATTATTTCACTGGAACATTGGGGGGAAAGCCAAGTATCGATACAAAAATCTAATGGGCACCTAAAGCTGCCTAGTAGAGGTGATGCAGACCAGGTGGGTCATTTGGTGAGAAAGCGTTGTTTCTGCAGAGAAACTGAGACAAAAGCATTCATTCTTGCCTTCCTTTCCACTGCAAATACAGATAAGGTTCCCTAAGGAAGCTGGGATAGAATCTAATAAAAGAGAGGTATCTCAGACAGCTTTATTCACAGTTAGTGCATACTGGGAGTGATCTTATATCTTATAGTGATCAAAGGGCATACGCCTTGGGAAACTTTCCCTATACCCTACTCTTATATGCCATGTGAGTCATAACAGGAACCCCTTTTATTATGGCTCACATTGAGGAAGAGTGGGAAGGAGAGCTAAGAGCTGTTTTGCTTGGAGTCTTTAAAACATTGACATCTTCTAAAAAAAGAAGAGCCTATGTTTCAACAGTGCCCATGAACTAGACAGAAACCCTCTAGTTCACAAACTTTCATGGCCTGGGGAGGACACAGGAAAAACCTCTGGGAAGGAACATTAACAAAACTTGGGAAAAGGGTGGAAGGTCAATGAGTTGGCTCTCTAATATCAGGCTGGGTAAGACCTCGGTTTGCATACTCACTCTGGCCACCCCTCAAAAGTGGAGACAGTGAAGAGGGCCATCATGGCCGCCAGAACATTGTCAAAGTCAAACTTGCTGTTCTCCCAGCTGCGGGGCTGGATGATGGGGTGGTCAACCTCCCCGTCCTTGTACGTGATGTAGTTACCCCTGAGAGAGAGGAGAAAGAGTTCATTTTGGAATCTTCCATCTCCTTCCAGACCTGGCCCAACAATGACTCCCAGCATGTTAGGTAGGATGGGACTGGCTAAGTTTAAACCCCACAGTTCTAGCCATGTGGAAGAGTTTTGTGGTAGAACCGCCAGGAATAGATAACATATGTCATGTCAAAGGGACCTGACTGCATATGGATAAAAGTTCTGCTGCCACTGTTTGAGAAAGAATGAGCAGTACTTCCTCTCACACCAAGTCACCAACCTCCCAGAGTTAACCAGCCTGGGTGCTGGCTGCCCTCCAGTCTTTACTCACTTGCACTCTGCCTCAGTCTGCTTGGAACTATCTGAACAGGTGTAGAGCTTTCCCTGGAAGACAGGAGAACGGAATGATTGGAAATGTTCATTAATCAATGAATGAATAATAATAATAAAAATTAACTAGCGAATATCTGTGAGGGGGCTTCAAAAAGTTCATGGAAAAATGGTGCTTAAAGATAATGGAATTTTTCTACAAACTTTTGAAGCATCCTCACATATAGCCCAGCAATGTGCTTGGGATTGCGGGATAAAAAGTTTAGGTGTGCAGTATCTAGTTAGGGAAGCCATGACTCACATATACAAAGCTGTCAGTGAATGAAGATGCTTAATGCTACAAGTACCTTGGGATTTAAATAAAAAGGGGGCACCAGCCAGGTCAGCTGGATCTCGAAGAAGGTTTGTGAGGAAGGTCTAAGAGGAACTGGTCGGGAGGGAGGAAATCCCTTCTGAGAAAGGAAGGGAGGTTATGTGGATGGGGGTGAGGTGGGAGAAGCAGCAGAACTAGAAAGTTAAGGCAGAAAACAGCAGATATCATGGAGGATGGTGGTTACAGTGTAACTGAGGAGACTGGTCAGGAAGAAGCGGGAGATAATCTGGACAGGTGCAAGGTCCTGAAGCGAGGTAGGGAAGGGTCAACTTGATGCTGCTGACAATAGGGAACTGCTGTAGAGTTTAAGCGGGTGACTGACTTAAAGATGTCAGAACATAGAGGTCTCTCTCCCTTTCTTGCTCAGAAGGAAGGGCAGGCAAAGCTGAGAAGGGCTTGCGGCCTTTGGCCTCATGAGACAATGCTTCCTTTCAGGCTATTGTTTCCCAGGTCTAGGAAGCTGAGTGTAGAGCTGTGGCTGGAGGCTCCTCTCCTTCTGTCGCTCCAGCTTGTATGGACTGCATTGTGTCACCTAAATAGATAGGCTAAAGCCCAATACCTCCACTAGTGGATGTGATCTTGTTTAGAGAGATAGGGTTTCCCGTTGCAGATGTTATCAATCAAGTTGAGAAAGTCATATCAGAGTCGGGGAAACCCTGATTCTTTCTGACTGGCATTTCATAGAAGAGGACAGGCAGAAACAAAGACACAAACAGGGGTAAGACAGGTGCCATGTAACAACAGAGGCAGATAAGTAGCAAAAGAACACCAAGTATTGCCCGCAGCCTCCAAAACTAAGTTCTTTTCTGAAAACCCCTGGTAGAAACTGACACCTAATTTGGATATCTTTTCTCCAGAACTATGAGACAATAAATTCCTGTTCTTTAGAGCCTCTCACTTTGTGGCATTTTTGTTATGACAGCCCTCGGGAATCAAGACACCTTCCCTGGGAATGCTGATGTGAGGGAAAGGAAGCAGGACCACAAATCAGAGCCAAGACTTTACCTTGAAGAGCTGGACCCCAATGCAGGCAAACATGAACTGCAGCAGTGTGGTGACAATCACGATGTTCCCGATGGTCCGGATGGCAACAAACACACACTGAACCACGTGCTGCAGTGGGAAGGGACATGGCTTCAGGAGGTGCCTGCAGCCTCACTCTCCTCTGGCTAAGTCATGAGCCTCCTTGGGGAGCATCCCCTTTTGCAACAACTTGGGGAACTCATGCTCAAAAGAGGCACATGTTGAGTAAGTGGCGGAAGCCAATGGAATTCAAAGTCCCCCACTGGCCTCTACGTGACACAGGGATAAAGAGCCCTGCTAACTCTGGTAGTGTAGTGGTTACAAATCGGACTGCTAACCTTACTTAGGGTCAGCAGTTCGAAACTACCAGCTATTCCGCGGGAGAAAGATGAGGCTTTCTGCTCCCGTAAAGATCACTATGAGTTGGAACCGACTCCACGGCACACAACAACAATTTTCCATTTTAGGAGCAGGGAAACAGGGACATCCCTCTGTTCAACATGGAGCAATGTGGAGCACCACATTTGTGTGAGGGTCTCCCCTTTGCCAAAGCTTTACTAGAGACTCAGGTTCTAAATGGTTGCTGCCACTGCCATTATTCCGTTCATCAAGAAACCAGGACTTGAGTGGGACCAGAGGTGTAGGGAGGCAGAGTGCAGGCTCCAAGAGGGCAACATGACCACTACGTCCTCCCTCCAGGCCACCCTTTACCTCTACTGAGTTGCCACCAACCAACTGGCCCATTGATGCTTCTAGGCCCTGTGGGTGGCTCCCTGGCCAGGTCCAGGCCCACCTGTTTCTCACCTTTAGCCCCTTGGCCCTGTTGATGGCCCTCAGAGGCCGGAGTACTCGCAGAACTCGCAAGATCTTCACGACATTGATTGCACTAGACCTACGAGAGAAAAACAGGGCAGGGTTGTAAGCCTCTCCTGTTTTGGTGGAGCAGGAAAGAATGTAGTGAGGGGGTGCCCTGACAGGTCTATTCCAAGGCAAACTTGAGAAAATGTAGTCAGTTTAGAGCTTTTCATCCTGGAACCCTCCTCTCTTCCTCTCTTCACACCTCCCCTGTAAGAACCCAGAGCTTGCCTATGACCCTGAGACTTTCCTGTTGGTTAGGAAGTAAAATGAAAAAAATTTTTTTTCTTGTTATGCTTTGTGAAGCATTCTTTATTGACCTTAAAGAAAAATTTACAATGAGGAACTCCAGGTCTTGTGGCTGGCACATTGTGGATGCCAGGTATGGGAGAACCTTTTATCACTTTTCTCCAAACGTTTGTTCTAGTCATTTCCTGTTACATTTATATGTAAAATGCACTCTGGTTCATAGCACAGACTCCAAGAAAGAATTATCTCTGCACAGCTAAGATGCCAAGGCCAAGTCAAATTTCTGCTCCTGGTGTGGCGCTGTAGGGCAAGCATTGGATTGCTAACCACAAGGTTGGTGGTTCAAACCCATGGGTCACTCCACGAAAACCCTACACAGGCTCGCTATGAATTGGAACTGACTCAGCGGCACTTAACAACAATTTCCTACAGGGAAGGAGGTACTATGGGGCAGGCCCCTTGGCAAATGCTGGATGATTTCTGGAATTATCCATTCCCCTTTGGAGGAGCATATTAGCTAGGACAGATCGGTGAGCAGCTCTAAGTTGATCCCAATCCTTATTCACTATTCACTATCTCTGGTTGAGAAACCCGCTGAAGCTTTTTAGTCAAAAAGACATAAAAATGTATGGCACGTCGACAAATGCTGATTGTATTCTTCACGTGGTCAGGGTAGTGTGCTCCAGAGGGAGCTGGTAGAAAGATCGGATTTCTCTGGTTCACGGCTCTTTTATTCCAAAAGATTGAAAGGGCACTCGTACCTATCACAGCATCTTATCCCACAGTGTCTCAGGGAGGCATTCAGTTTGCATGGAATCACAATTGGAAGGGATTTAAAGGTCAGAAGGGGAAAACATAGACTAAGTGGGGAGGGATTCGTGGTTCAAGGTTGAATAGTGTTTTATTAGTGGTGCTGGAATTGGAATCTACACCTGTAGGCTCTCAGGCAGAAAGTCTGGGATGATAGAATTGATGACCACAGAAAAGAGTCTCACTCCTAAAGCCCCCTTCTCCACCTCACCGTTGCTGTTGTTAGGTGCCATCGAATCAGTACTAACTCACAGCGACCCTATGCACAACAGAATGAAACACTGCCTGGTCCTGGTCCAACCTCACAATTTTTGCCACACTTGAGCCCATTGATGGTTCCACTTTGCCAGTCCATCCTCACTGGGGTCTTCCTCTTTTTCTCTGACCCTCCACCTTACAAAACATGATATCCTTCTCCAGCGACTGGTCCCTCCTGACAATATGTCCGAAGTATGAGAGACGGAGTTTGGCCATCTTGGCCTCCAAGGAGCACTCTGGCTGCACTTCTTCCAGAATGGATCCATTGGTTCTTTTGGCAGCCCATGGCACCTTCAATATTCTTTTCCAACACCATACTCAAAAGCATCAATTCTTCTATGGTCTTCCTTATTCACTGTCCAGCTTTCCCATGTATATGAGGTCATTGAAAATACCATGGCTTGGGTCAGGTGCATCTTAATCCTCAAGCTGACATTTTTGCTCTTCAACACTTTAAAAAGGTTTTGTGCAACAGAGTTGCCTAATGCAATATGTCGTTTGATTTCTTGACTGCTGCTTCCATGAGTGTTGATAGTTGATTAAAGAAGAATGAAGTCCTTGACAACTTCAATCTTTTCTCCATTGATAAAAATATTGTTTATTGGTCCAGAGGTGAGGATTTTTGTTTTCTTTGCATTGAGATGCAATCCATACCGAAGGCTGTGGTATTTGATCTTCATCAGTAAGTATTTCAAGTCCTTTTCACTTTCAGCAAGCAAAGTTGTATCATCTGCATATCACAAGTTGTTAATGAGTCTTCCTCCAATCCTGATGCCATGTTTTTCTTCATAGAACCCAGCTTATCTGCTGTTTTTTGCCTTATTTGCTCAGTATACAGTTTGAATAAGTCTAGTGCTGTTAAGTCTGTTCTGACTCATAGCGACCTTATATAGGGTATCCGAGGTTTCACCTGGTGAGTCTGAACTGCTGATATTGTGGTCCAGTGCTTACCATAGGCTCACCATCAATACACCCTTGGGAAGGGAGTTCCATGACCCCTGGGGGTGTAAGCTTTTCTGGGTTATTGGTATAACCTTGGGGAAGTCTTATAGAATGCTTTCAACCTCCTATCAAGTGGTGTTAAGAACACTTGCCCTTCATAGCTCATGGGTTTTTGTAAGGATCACACAAGAATGCCTCTGTGAAAGTGCTTTGGGTGTTTAAGTGCAGGATTATCATAAATAGCTGTTGCAACTTGGTAGCATCTAGTAATCGGATAAATTTAAACCTGAGAAAGGTTTGCAAACATGGATGTACAGTAGAATTACCTGGAAAGCTTTAAAAAATCCTAAACCTAGGCTGCACTTCAGACAAATTAAAAAAAAAAAAAATCTGGGAGTAAGATTAAGGAAAATGTCTTTTTAAAAAGGTTTGAAGTGATGTCACTGTGCAAGTCAATTCCATAAGCAGCTAGTGCATCCTAGCTTAAACACCAGCAACTATGACTGGGAGAAAGGTGATAGAAAGGTAGAAAAGATGGACCAGAAGATCAGCATGGGCCATTGGTCACTTGGTAAGAGAGGTGGGGCAGCACTGGATACAATCCTTTCTTTTATAACTGGCGTGGTCCTGCCCGCCATGGCAAACCTTGGTTCAACATATGCCCAAGTGTCACACTACTGAGGACATGGACAGACACAGGAGTCAAAGTCACCATGTTGTACAACTTCAGAGGCCCCCTCCCATCACAGCCACACTGCCGTGACTGCAGGGAGACTCCCAGGATTTGGGAGCTCTCTCTGATACACACTCCTACTAGCATGCCTCCATTGTGGGTGGCGGGAGCGCCTACTCACTGGATGCCAAAGGAGATGAGGGACACGCTGACCACCAACAGGTCGAGGATGTTGAAGTAGTTCCGGCAGAAAGAGCCCTTGTGGAGGAAAGCCCCATACGCAGTCATCTGCAGGGAGGCACAGAGAAGCATGAGTGTGAGTAACCCAAGCCTAAGCTTCAGAGACCGCCCCCCCACCCCCACCCCGCACCCCTTCCTCCCACAGCATCCCGAGTGGGTTCTGAGCACTTCTGATTCCTATAGGGCCCAGTCTAAGGACAGGGAGATGACAGAGGTTGGGGGTGGGGGAGGAAGGCAGAGGCAGCATCAAATAAGGAGACACAGCATCAAGAAAAGGGCTCTGCAACGATCTGTGCCGCGGCTCAGGATATACAGTGGCTCCTTCCACCTACCGGACCACATTAGACTCAATCCTACATTCAAAATCCTTTCACATTGGGCTGTACCACCCCTCTCTGATTTCTCACTGTTCCTCATCACACTCTGATCTCCTCAGCTCCAGTCCTAAGAGCCCTTGGTTGGTGCTACCCATGCTGGGTTTCCCTTGTGCACAAACTTCTCAACTACTTCTCCAAATTCTATTCATCCTCTGGACCAGCTCTGGGAAGGTGGGCATGCCCAGAAGGTGACCACCCCAGGCAAATTGGGATGGATGATCACCCTAATGCCCACGGGGAAGTTCTATCAACAACTGGCAACTAAAATAGTGGTGTCACTGGGAGGTGGAGGGAGGGGGTGCAGACCGCATGCCCTGGCGCTGTCAGAAGGGGTAGTACCAAATTCACCCTGGAGTCTGAGGTGGCGGCGGACTAGCTGGAGTTTCAGAGGGAGGGGCCTCCATGGTAGTGGGTCCTTAAGGATGTTACCCAGTGCAGTAACTCATCACCAACCCCCACCAGCAGAAGAGGGTCTCTGCCTTGGGCAATGGGAAAGGGGAGGAGCTGTGGATTTTCAGCCATGGGGTGGGGGTGGGCTGTGTGGCACTCTGCCCTGCTGGAGGAAAGGAAGGGATGTGCCCCGCCCACAGGGACAGGGTAATACTCTGAGTTACTGCATAAGGTGACACTATCCTGAGTGAGGGCACTGATAGCATCCTTCCACTCCTGGCCTTAAACAGTGCTGATGTTGGTGTCTGACATTCTGGACTCAGTTCTAGACATCTTGCTTCTAGATGTCTTGCTCTCATGTGCTATGTTCAGAGAGGATATGTGCTACCACCAGGCTTGAATCCCAACCTTATTCTCTTTTATTTGTGTGGCTTGGGCACAAGTTACTTAACTTCTCTAAGCCTCAGTTTCTTTATCTGAAAAATGGGGATATTTTTCTACTCTAGAGAGTGGAAAGCAGACAGTAAGCACCTATTAGTGTTAGCGGGGGTCAATGAATTCAGGGCCAGATATTTGTGTTTCAATTCTGTATTCTTCCTGAGGATGGTTGAGCTTCCTAATCTGAAATGTGAGGATAATGATAATATCTACTCTATCAGATTGTAAATATCAGCTGAATATCAGACACTTTGAACACTATTCCACAGATAGTAAACTCTACATGTAAGTGTTAGCCGGCATCAGAGAGAACTGGGCTTGGGGCCAGACAACACTTGGATTTGAATTCTAGATTCTTCTCTATGAGGAAGGATTCCTCATCTATAAAACAGAGATATTATTCTCTGCTTTTGTGAGGCAACATGAAAGCCTTTTAGAAACTAAAAAGAGGACACATGGATGATGACTATTGTTCCAGGATTTGGTTATTATTGGAGCTCAGTGTAAAGGGGTGCACTGTAGGTGCTCAACAGCCTTTCCAATTGTGCAGACTTGAATGAAGGACCAGTGGATTTCCAGGTTAAGGGCTGAACAGGCCATGGGCCATGACGTGCCAGCTGAAGGGATACATTTGGAGCTGATGGGTTGAGAGGCTGGGAATGTCTCCCTGGTCATCTGGGGTCCAGTTTATCTCTTTGGAATCAGAGCATGCCCAGGGCAGCATGTCCGGCAAGCAATTCAAAAGCAACACAGGGGAAATTGACAAAAATAGCTCTTGCAACCTAATTCTTCCCATTTCTCTCTTTACAGCAGGAACCACAGGAGACTCAGGCACCTGTGTTCTGCAATGGTTTTTAGAAGTGGGTAGATTATGTAAAAAGCTGCTGGTGAATACAATCTGAGGTCTCTGCTACCAGCAGGGATTGCTGCCCTGTCCTTCTGTGAGGACTTGGGACCCCAGAGCCTGGCCTTGAGTGGCTCCCAGAGCTCATGCAAATCAGGTTGCCTTCCTAAGCCATCTCACTTTTAAGAGAGAGAGAGAGAGAGAGAGAGAGAGAGAGAGAGAAAGAGACAGAGAGTGAGTGTGTGTACTGGGTTTTGATCCTGGCTTGGATCTTCTAAAGACAGTAATGAGCTCCAGCAGAGCCCCACCCCTCATCTGGAAAAAGAATTCCTTAGCTAGGTGGACTTAATGGAGATCAGAGAGCCAAGTTTTCCACCTGACTTTGCTGTGTTGTTAAGTGCTGGTGAGTCAGTTCCAACTCATGGTGACCCTGTATAGGGTTTCCAAGGAGTGGCTGGTAAGCTTGAATTGCTGAACTTGTGGTTCAAACTGAGATCAGTGCTTCAGTATGTGTGGAACCTCATGAGAAAGTGTGTGTATGTCAGTGTGTGCTCACACATGTGTGTCTTAGCAGAGTAAGAGGAAAAGTGGCAGTTGTTGTGAGTGCAAACAGATGCTGGGAAAATGGAGAATGTATTTGAAGGTCAACTGTGACATTCAGAATATCAGAAAAAGCCGTGCTCAGTGATCTGATGTAGCTGATTGCGAACCACCCAGTCCCTACTTCCTAACAGTCCTAACTCATGATGCTGAAGAAGCCTAGGGCTGGTGTATTTCTGAGGAAAGACAAAGGAGTGGGAGTAGGGTCACTGGCTCTCTTAGTTAAAAGGGCAGGAGCCACCTCTGGATAGCCATCGGCAGCCCCTGCCCCACTAATGGGCTTCCCATAGTGGGCCAGCTCTAGCTATTTAAAGTGAACTCTTGTTGTTGTTAACTGCCCATCATTGAATTGGCCCCAACTTGTGGCAGCCCAAGCACTCCATCCAGTTTTCATTGCTGGTTTTTGGAAGTAGATCAGTAGGCCTTCTTCTTAGTCTTTCTTAGTTTGGAAGCTTTGTTGAAACCTGATCAGCATCGTAGCAGCACGCAAATCTCTGTATATGAGGCGCACTGGCTGTGAGCTGACCTCAGGGCTCCCTCATGGAAAGCGAGAATTCTACTTTGGAGCCCACTGCCTCCTAAAAGTGACTTTGTGTTCTGTAATTTCTGCTTAGTGGTCTACCTCCTCTCTCTCTTGATGGTCCTTTGTATCCTTCAGGTCAATGACTGTGGTCCCACAAGCCCTTTGTTTTTAAGACTCATCATCCTCAGTTTTTCAACCATCCCTGATTCTCAATGGCAGGGACCATAGGCCTTGTGGACAGCCATTGTTTTTTCTACCACAGCTCAACAGTGGGTAGAGCCAGGTAGAGACACTCAGTGGCAAGAAGGCGCTAGGAAGTAAACCAGGGTCTGGAGTTTATATTTAGGAGCACATAAGTAAGAGAAAGTAGAAAAGGAAAAGGGCAGAAGGAGAGGGAAGGATCTTTCTATGACAACGCTCGCAAAGAGACCTTTCATGTCTGCTTGCATGGCAATCCTGAAGGCAAAATAGCACCACTGAAATCCACAAAAGGAGCGCTGTAGAAAGGTACTGAGTACTGGGCCTCAGAGCGTTTCCTGTCCCAAGAAAGACTTTAGGGCCTGTGTGTCTCCCTGAATCTGAAGTCCAGGAAAAAGAAAATCAAAAAATCAAGCCCCACAAAAGCTCTCCATGAAAAAATGGGCTTCACAGCAGTACATCTTAATGTAGTCATGGATCCTCAGGAAGTGGGCCCGAGGAGGACAGAAGGTCTGAGGAGCAGATAACACCAGGAACAGATGTAGGAGTGAATACAAGGAAGCCCCTTAACCTCAAACTCACACATACTGCCCCATTCAAATGGGGTCTGGACATGACAGTCTCCAGTATATCTAAGGGCTGGGTCAGGACTTGGGAATGCTGTCAGGAAGGGAAGTGTCTGTAGGGTTAGGTGTTGGCATCTAGATTCCATCAGCCATAGGGATGGGATGGTAAGGGGTCCTGGACTACTTTGGAAGGGTTCCCTCATCTTCCACGAATGAGACACTGAGGTAGAAGCAGGTGCTTGGGAGCTTATATATAACCCCTTTGTTCAGAGTAAAGTGTAACTCTAATCTGGGCTCTGAGAGGAAAACATGTTGATAGATACTTTCCACAAGGTCTCCGAACTCACAGCCTGAATCTCAGATGAATCGGTTTGATGATTCATTGATTTAGAGACTTAAAAGTATAATGAAAAAAAAATCTAGAAATGGTATCTCTCGTCCCAGTGCTGTTTAGAAGGGCTCTACCTGTTTTTTTGGGTAACAATGTCATGTCGTAGCAGTTCCATAAACAGAGCTGCCAGCACCCAGAGACTGGACAGCAGCCAGCAGGCTGTGTACAGGCCCTGCAGTCAAGGGCTTAGGCTTGGGCATTCAAGCTTTCCTCAGCATTTGATTCTCAACCCCCTGCGTTTAGGGCTCCATGTAATCCTCCCCCACCCATCTTCAGGGAAAAGAGCATTGCAACAAATAACCAAGTTGTTCAGAGGGTAACTGAGGGCTCAGAAGTTATCTGTGTTTGTCTGACAGGTGCCTAATCTTGCATTAGGTTCCTGACTGCAATGCTGGAGGCCCAACTGCACCTTAACCCTGACTTTTACCACAGTTCTGCCGAGGTGGGAAGATGGGCATCCAAAAGAGGGCAACTGATGAGATGCTCTGAGGCCCCAAGAATCTCCCTAGTTTTGAAGATTGTGTGGTATTTCTTCTGGATAGGTGGAGGAAGTTGGGTACTATCTAGGGGCCAGCTGCCAGTTAACCAGAGATGGTGTGTGTGAGCCAGGGTGCAGGGCACACTGTTGAGTGGTGCATACAGTGCTGGCCTCACTGAAATGCTGACACTAGAGTGGACACTGACCCCCATGGGCTTCTTCCAGGCCAAGAACTGTTTGATGGTGGTCAGGGAGGATGGGCTGCAGTGGGGTGGGTTTCTTCTGGAGGGCACCTGAGCCTGAACAAAGTGCATACCACCAAGTGAGGGGCATTCACTTTTCCAATTCCAGGTGGGAGAGTCAATGGAGGGAGTGAAAGAAACAGAAGAGGGAAGAAAGACAGCCGGACAGAGCAGAGACAGACAAGGGAAGAGACAGAGAGAAAGCACTGTTCAGATTGCATTACCTTAAGAATAATTTCTAACGTAAAGATACTAGTGAAGACATAGTCTGCATTGCCTAGGATCTGAAAAATAAGCACAATGGGATTAGTGGCTCTGAGAGTGACCCCGACGGACACCAACAGGAGCGTGTGAGTTAGCGACAGACGGCAGCAGAGAGCTAGTGCTGGCACGAGGGAGGGCAGGAGGAGAACAGAGGGTAATGGGGGCTTTACCTTCAGAGCAATTTCAATGGTGAAAATGGTAGTAAAAACAATATCAAAATAAAACAGAATCTGCAAAACAAAATGGAACAGGGTGTGGGTGGGGAGGGGAAGGGAGAACAGCAGGGCAGGAGGCAAGGTCAGTGGATGTTCACCAGAAAAGGAGCCACATTTCAAAAACCAAAATGCACGGCAGCTGAGGCTTTCTACATGGAGACGGATGGGAATGAGTTAGGAGACAAGGGGTAGAGACACAACCAGTTAGCCTCAGGCAGCTTGGTGCTTAGGATGAAGTCCCCAGATACATTAGGGGAGCTTCCATGTGGGTCTGGGCAGCACCTAGTTGGATGCTTTTCTTATTAATCCAGTTTACTTATACACTCCAATCAGACCATGGGGGTACTTTTCAAAGGGATGGAGAATGTTTGTTTTTTTTCCAAGAAGCTACAAAATACTTAACTCACTTTGGCATGACTCAGCCAGCTTCCTGGGTTGGTGGAAATCTACGGTGGTGGTACCTCTTTGAGGTATGGCAGCTAACACCCTCCAGGTGAGGCTCAGTTAGACTACTGGGCAAGGGACAGGTCCCAGGAGTGCATGCTTAATTATGATTCAGGTGACTGGTGAGAGATAAGGCCAATCCCTGCTAACCTTCAGTAGGAAAGCCATGGACCAAGCAGGTTCCAGGAACCACCAAGTGGCTTGGTATGGGTATGGCTTCAGATTGGTGGTCTCTACTCTCAGTGTCCACCTGAGTCTTCAAGATGCCTGTTAATTCATCTTCTAAACCGACTCGACAGCACTTAACAACAACAACAACGACATTCACCAGAGCCTTGGGTGAGTCTCCAAATTTTCTATCCTACAGACAGTCACCCAGGCACTCTTTCATGTCAGGTCAGCCTTATCATTGGCATCTACTTGCCAATGTTTCCTCTCTTCCTTGTTATTAGAACTGGACAGAGAACAGGCAGGGACTCAGTAATCAACAGCCACCCTCTACTACTTTACAGAGAACCAGGCATCTGGGGAACATCACAGGGCAAGTAAAGTCCTTGGCCCCTGCCAATTGTCAAGCCAGCCCTAGACATCTGGGATCATGCCCTTTATCTGTTTCATGGGGTTCTAAGATGGGTTCTTTATAAAAATCCTGATTTCTTGAGAAAATGTTTACTGTGCATCTGATTTTGAATTTTAGAATTGGGCTCCTGATTGAACAACAGCATCAGCCACAGAAGCTGTGAGCCCAGTCACATTCCCAGGAGGAAGGGGTGCAGAGACCATGAGGGGATACTTACATGGTTCCTGAAGGAGGTATGCTGTACGGGATCCTCAGCAGCCAGGGAGATGCTGCTGAGCAGAATAAAGAAGAGGATGAGGTTGGTGAAGATGGTGTCATTGACAATTCGGTGACATTGGAGGCGGAATCTGCATGGGGAGGAGCCGAGAAGAGGTATGTCAGGAACCACAAAGAGGAACAACTCTATCAACCTGCAAATGGTGCTTGTTGGTTTGGGAGTGGCCGCTTCAGCCTGAAGTCTTGTTGCTGACTAACAACACTACACACTTTCTACAGAAATTTGCAGTTCTAAAGTTGCTTTCATAGGCAGTAGACTTTTGACATTTTGAAGGATTACATTTTGGGAGTCTCCAAAATTTCAAGTACTGCTGAGATATTACCAATTGACTTCTGTTTAGAGCTTTCTTCTATTTAAAAAAAAAAATTACGTTAGGAGATCTACTTCATGTTTGAATGCATAGGGAACAATGCACTAGGAGATTTGGCTGCTGAGAGACTGGCTAAACATACTCTCTGGCTAGGTGGTGTACTTCTGTGTATGAGCTTCAAGGTGTGCAGGTCAACTCCATACTTCAGCATAAGAACAACAAACCATACATATAGACATCTGCACATTCACTGTGAGTACCATAAGTATTAGATCCATGAACGCCAAGAGTGTCTCATACACCATCTTATTTCATCTTACTGACAGCATAAGAAGGGAAGTATGGGTGTTACTATCATCACTTCACAGATAAAAGCACCAAACCCAAGGAAGGAAAGGCTTGCCCAGAAACACAGCTGTAGAATGAGGGAGTCAGTGGCACTGTGGTTGACTAAGTGCTCTGAGGAGTACTGGTGTGGTGCTGTAGGATAAGCACTGGACTCCTAACCACAAGGTTGGTGGTTCAAACCCACCAATCACTCCTTGGAAACCCTATCCTGGGTCACTGTGAGTCAGAACCAACTTGATGGCACTTAACAACAAGAAGGATGCTCTGAGGGAACTTTCCTATTGAAGAAGCACAAAACCCTGGAAAAGAGACTCATTGAGATAATAATTCTGGTTCCATGAGAGGCAGTGAGTCTATAAGACCAAGCCAACAAACAATCTGTGTGGTGTGCAGCCAAGAAGGGCAGAGTTGCCTGAGTATGGAGGAATTGCACTGCATTGCAGGAGTTCAGGCCAGTCTTGATGTGGGGCAAGGAAACCAGGGATCCTTAGGTTGAGTCAACACCCTTAAGGAGTATCTGAAAGAAAAATTTCTCTGTCTTAATTTATATCCACAGAATTCTCACCAATTAAGATGAAGTATGAGGTCACAATCAAGGACCATCAAACAAAAAACAGGGCAAACCACTAAGGTGAGAAATCAGAAGAAGCAACAAACAAGTGATATAGACCTGTAAGGAGTGTAGAAATATCAGATACAAAACATAGTATATTTGAAATAACTAGAATAAAGGACTCAATCATAAAAATGATGAATCCATAGAAATTATTAGATGTAGGCAGATGGATGTGGAAAAATCAAGCAAGAAATGGAACACTTAGAAATGAAAAACACATAACAGTTGATACTTTAAAAATCTGGGTTAACTAGTAATTTAGATAAAGTTGAAGAGAGAATGAAGAAATAGGAAGTTATAACTGAAGAAACTGTCCATAATATTCAAAGGAAGACGAAAAAATGAAAGATATGTAAACTGTATTAAGAGACAAGAAGGTCATCCTAGTCTCCATGGCCCTGAGAAAAAGACGATGCCCAGCTACCTCTGTTAACTGCTCTGAAAGGAACCACAGAGGAGGTCCTGACTAGAGAGGGAGAAAAATGTGGAACAGAACTCAAAATCATAGAAAGTACTGGCTTACTGGTTTGAGAGAGACTGGTTAAATTCCCCACTATGGCCCTTGGACACCCTTCAGGCCTGGAACTGAACTCATCCTTGTGGCTCAACTTTTAGCCAAACAAGTCTTGGTGTAGTGCTGTAGAAGCAACACTAGACTGCTAACCACAAGTTCAAACCCACCAGCTGCTCCTTAGAAACCATATACAGGGTCACTAGGAGTCAAAACTGACTTGACAACAGTTTGATCGCAACCATATAAGATCAAAAGGGCAGCATCAGACTAAGGATAAAGCTCAGAAGGACTAAGGGAAACAGTAAATACAGGGAAGAAGTCAGAAGAGTGCTGTTACCTCAGGGGAATGGCAATCAACATCACAAAACAAAATGTGCATGGATTGCTGAATGGAAAACCAATTTGCTTTGTAAACTTTCACTCAACATGATTTAAAAGAGAGATAAGGGATAGGGAGGACAGAATGAGAAAGTTTAGGAGTGCCAGAGGGAAGTAATAAAGAAAATGAAAGAGGCTACATTTAAAGAGATTATAGCTGCAAGTTTTCATGAACTGAAGAAAAATATGAATCCATAGACTGAAGAAGCATAACATATTTTAAAGAAGATAAATGGAAAACCAACAAAACTCATGCTGCTACATGTGGGTATAAATCTGTACAGCATCCAAATACAACAGAAATGTTAAAAACACCTAGAAAAAATGAACAGATAACTTGCAAAGGAATGATAGTTACAATGACAACTGACTTTATAGTGGAATAATACTTTGAACTTTGAGGAAGAAAAACTGTCAGTCTATAAAATAATGAAACATATCTTTTTGGGTTAAAAATAAAGGTCAGGATTAAAATTTTAATCAATAATAACAGGTAAATCGTTTGCAGAAGAATGAAACAAGATCTTATCTCACACCAACTACAATGGATTAAAGACCTAAGTGTAAAACCTAAAACTATAAAGATCATCATTGAAAAAATAGTGACAAACTTAGGGGCTCTAATACATGGTATAAATATACTGTGGAACATGACTAAAAACATAGAAACAGTAGAAGACAAAATAGCTGACTGGGACTTCCTAAAACTTAAATTTATTTCAAAGTATTTCATCTTTTGGATGGCACTTGTAAATGGTATTGTTTTCCTGATTTCCTTTTTAGAGCTGTCTTTATTAGTGTAGAGGAATCCAACTGATCTTTGTATACTGATCTTGTACCCTGCCATTTTGCTGAATCTTACAATGAGTTCCAATTAGAGTAAAAAGAGAGCCCACAGACTGGGAAATTATTTTTTTTGCAATGACATAACAGACAAGGGACTATCTCTAAAATTTATAGAAAACTACAACACCTCTACAAGAAAAAGACAAACAACCCAATTAAAAAATGGACACAGGACATGAACAGATACTTTATCAAGGAGGATATTCAGGCAGCTAACAAACATGAAGAAATGTCCAAGATCATTAGCCATTGTTGTTGTTAGGTTCCATCGAGTTGGTACCGACTCACAGCGACCTTATGCACAGCAGAAGGAAACACTTCCTGATCCTGGGCCAACCTCACTATTGTTGCCACACTGGAGTCCATTAATGC